GATTTCTACTTATAGAGATAATTACTTATTACTTGATAATATTGTTGGTTTTACAAACATGTTATACCAGCTTTTTCCTAATATCAGTTTAAAATGTAATTTAACACAAAATTTATAGATTATATAAAAGACTTTTGTGTATGTGTGTGTGAGATATATATATCATTTGTAATTACAGTATTACACATCTACAACAAACAGGCGCTCTGGTTTGCAGAATCGATGCAAATTTTGATGAACCGGTTTTGCATGATTGATCAAAAGATAAACTGCTATAGTTATGGAAACTTACTAGGGAAAGGAGGAGGAAGGGAAGTCGCATTAGAGGTAGAGACGCTGCCATTGAGAGAGCACGAGACAAGCCCATCGATTCTGACGATATTGAGAAGGCCAAGAATCCCACCAAGCCCGGGAAGCTGAGCATTAGCCATTGGAGACACCCCAATGAGACATATCAAGATCAATGAGAAGGCCATGTCTTTGTTCTTGAGCATTGCCATGTTTTTATGATTACTAAAGATAATTATATGTGAAACTATAGAGTAGAGAGTAAACGTTTTTCTTCTGTGTTACTATTGGTTTTGAATGTGTTAAGTATCTTCCCCTTGCAGCTCTATTTATAGAACGAGTTTCCATAGATCTCGCCCATCCTATTTACTTTTTGCTTTTAAAGTTAGTGATGATATGCGTTTACTTTATAACACAAGAAGACGTTCGTAGGTTTTGATCGAGAATTCGAATGTAATTTAACTGTGTTGTAACATATTCTACTGTTTTTTTCCGAGACATTAAATTAAACAATTCCTCCAAGAATATCTATGTGATTTTGTAAGGCATGTTCGTAGATTAGTCGGGTATTAATTATATAAAAAAAATGGATATGATAAAACTGCACCGGTCGTAATTGGTTGTATTCCAAGTTTCGAACCCTATTCCATGCATGATATTTAGTGATACGAGGTTTGAGAAGTCAATGCGTATGTATTGAGACAAGTATAACTACTAGTTTTATTAACATAATTATAGCAGTAAAAGCTTGGTCAAGTCGTCAAGAGATCGCACTCACAAAGTTAAGAGAGATGAAGAATGCAAAAGAAATATTGGATTGGGCCGATAAAAAGATATGGTGAATCCAATTTTCCAAAGTTCAAATCCAACAATTTGCAGCACTGAGTGGTGAGGTAACTATCAAACCCCAAATCATAAGGATGGGGCTATTCCTATATTTGCAGAGAAATTAATAAAAAAAATATATATTTAAAAAGTGTAGGGCATAATGTAGATAGTATGTGTTTTGGCTTGTTAAAAAATGATATGCATATTTTATTTAGATTTCACACAGTGTCAATGTTTGTTTAACAATATGATGTTTTGAATATCCCCAAAGTCGATTCTAATTAAAAAACTCCAACAACATGAAAAGTCTAAACCAACATTCGTGCTTTCTCTAATCCTCTCCCTGAATGTTAGGTTGGACTGTCAAGGCACTAATGAACTCAAGTGTCTTATCCACGAGATTAGTTTTCTCAGTTCTTACTTTGTCTCTATCTTCTGTTCTTTTATTTATCGTGATTGTATTCGAAGGCCGACTCGCTTGCTAAATTGGCTCTTTCTGTTTAAGACAATTCCTTTGTTCTTGTTCCTAGGGTGTAAGTTTGCTTCCATCATCTATAAAATTTCTAATTCGTCCCCCCCAAAAACCCATGAGTTTATCAGCCTTCATTGCTATGGACATTATATATATAAGAGACAAAATCTTAGTTTTATTGATTGATCGTTTGAGATTTTCAATCGATTGTTTCACATTTTGTCATTCTCTTCAAAATTTCTATAGTCAGTGTATGTTAGACGACATCCATTTCGGGTTTTAGTAAAATTATAGACGAAAGAGTATTTTTTCATTAACAGATTGTTGTATCTACTAACAAATCTACTATCTTATAATATAATTACGTACAAATAAATTTAAGTTATATATTGGTCCATGAATCCTATTTTTTTATATAAGAAAATTTTAATAACCTAGAAAATGAATTGAACTGAATAGCCAAATGTCCACTGATATTTGCCACAACTTGTGTTTTAAATTGGTCCATGAACCCTACTTTTTCCAATATTCGACTTTTAAGTTGGGTCACTCATTTTTGTAGCAGCCATCACAAAAAGTGATCTCATAAATGTATCTTATGAATGAATTCTACTAAACTCCACGGGACCAGAGAAAGATTCATCCATCGCACGATTAGTCAGTCTCCCGACCAAGTTGTCCACTTGGTTAATGGGTGAGTGCTCATTCGATAAGTATTTGATTGACATCACAAAACCCTAGAAAGCCACTCGGTAGTTTACTAGAAGTAACCAAGAAACTCAAGTAAATGGTAATAATAAGATTTTTGGAAGTATAGTTTTTACTTACAACTAAGGCAGTATAGTATACTTTTTGACATTGTTTTGGTGGTTGGGTATGAGGCCAAATTTAAATTACTAATATGTGAGATATATAAATATATCGTTTGGCATGTTGAATTCATGGCATGCTTAGTTTTGTTATTCCTGGATATTATCTTCTTGTTGTGTTGAATTTTGCTGGATATTTGCTTCATTGGTCTGTTGTCTATTGGAGCAGAGTACTTTTTCCATCTGCATGAGCCTCTTGTGATTGTGAAAATGAAAAGCATGGTTATTTAGCACAATACCAAACTACTTTTTATAGTAGATGATTATCATATTATATGTCTCTTGTATCATTGTAAGTAAGTTGTAAGACGACTTCCTTGTGTATGCGGTTTGGAATTTGTGACTGAGTTACCAAACTGGTCTAAAAAAGTTTAAAATTCTTTCAATATTGTGATCCAAGAGCTAAATAAAAGGACTCTCCTCCAGAGAACTTACAGCATGTTGTGGCAAAGCTCTCCCTGAGGAAGGCTAAAATTTTTGATGTTGTCGTCAGCTGATCAAAAGCATCAGTAACGGCTTGATAGTTCATTTGCTGTTGCCAAAGAATCAGGTTTGGGCCAGCGCCGCCGCGAGTATCCAAGAGAGGATCGGAGAAGAGCTAAAACGGAAGGAGAAACGTTGTGGTTGTGTGGATTGATGGAGGAGATTGATAAGACTCGGTGTGGGAGGCTTATATGATGCGGAAGTGGTGAAATGGTGGAGTCAATATGATGGCTATGTCGCTCTCTCGTACGGACTGATGGGTGAAAGGTGGTAGAACAAGACTTGATGAACAAGACTTGAACCGAGATGGAATCTATCAAATTGACTTTAACGCTCTCTCTTGAAAGATCGATGAATAGTGAATAAAGTGGATCGTTGGTACCACAAAAAGTATAAAAGGCTCTCTGATACAGCAAATACTCGAGTCTTGGTGAAACACACACACACAAGAACAACAAGCAAAAGAACAAAGGGAAGCGGCGGCTTGAGCTTTGAAGAAAGTTTGATCTCTTTATTAATAATGTAGGGTAACCAAAGATACAACGCTGCAGAAGAGATTTGTAAATAGATCGTTAGCTAGCCCTAGGGCCAAAAATAAAACGCAAAACGATATAAGAAACAAATACAAAGAAACAAAACGCAACAAAGGCAAAAACTATAAAATAAGAAAAGTTCACTTAACTACATAAAAAGAAAAATAAAACTAATTCGACTCTCTTGGTGCCTTAAGAGCTCGAACTGGAGGTTCCTTGGCGTGTTGTTGAGTAAGAACCATCGGGACAAGCCATATTACCTGAACGAATTGTATAAATTGAAAATACCTGTTTTTGGTGCACATGCAGCTCGGTTGGCAAGTTGATGCATATGTCCGGTCTTGTGCTTGTTTGGCCGAGTTTCTTAAAGCTCTTTTTTTCTTGATGTCCATTGAAGTCGAGTTGGTAAGTATCTACTCGAGTTCCTCCACTATCTTGGCTTAAAACGTCCTCTTGCTCCATTAGTGTTCTCTCGGGTTCTTGACTTGAATCGGGTGTAACTTGGTGCTCAGGTACGGTATTAGCGAGATTCTTGTTGCTTTAAGATCTATTTCCTGTCAAGTAAATGGACATACTTTGTTTTTTATTTGGCTGATCTTCTTTGAGGCTCATCTTAGCAAAATCCTCAGTAATGTCTATTTTGGGTGCCATGGAGCTCATTTGGGGTTTAGCAAAGTTCCACGTTCATGTTGATCAGGAGTGTTTCTATAGCTATGTTGAACCTTCTCTTAGTATTCTAGTCTTATAACGTGTGATGGGTGAGCCGTTAACCGGTGATATGGCCTTCTTTCCTAGTTCCTCTTCTCTCGGTAAGGTTGTAAGGTCTATGTCCCCATCAGAGATGCAGAGGATGGAGAATATTGATGTGAAGCTGGTGGAATTTTGTGAAGGGTTTAGGTATAATGGAGAGGAGGAAGTGACAGCGGAAGTGGCGGAGATGGAGGAGATTTTCCGGAAAGTGGAAGATGGGCTTGAAGGGTTACAAAGGCGAGTTAGGGAAGTGTTTCATAGGTTGGTGAAAAGCAGAAGTGAGATTCTTGAAGCAATTGATCATTGTAACCCTTAAGATGTGAGGGAGATCTTTTAGCTCTTTCGATTAAGGAAAAAAACGACAAGTTTTAATTTTTTTTTTTTAATTATATGATAATCTTTGATGTACATATATAGAATCTACAATTGGTAATTACAGATATGTGAATACACCATATTTTTTTGTTTGTTTATACTGAGACTGCAAAACTGTATTGTGAGTACATAAAAATCTGAAGGAATATTTTTTTTAGAAATGCAAAGGTGCAAATGGTTGACATGTCAGAGGAATAAAAATGAGTCAAAATATTGATTCTACTGTATTTTTCCAAAAACTTACCAATTAAGATGAATTTTTATTCCTCTACAAATTAATAGGATCCACAAAATTAGAGGAAAAATTGCTAATTTCTCTCAAATTTGTTACTTTTAAAAAAGAAGGAATACCAAAAAAACAAATTTCGTTCAACTTATACAGCCGAAGAAAATTATTCAACTCATTTTTATTCAACTCTTCAATTATTACTCCCATTCTACTCATTCTTTTTATTTGTAACCATTTGGAAAATTTATTACAACGATTTCACAAATTTATTCGAAAATCAGATTTTCACCACCATAAATACAAATTTCCAAATTGTAAACACCCAAAGCAGTGGAAAAAACAAAAAATCACACAAAAAGGATTAAAAAAAAAAACGAAAAATGAAGAAACATTTTCAGTTAACCACTGAACAGGTTCTTCGGATCTCTCCATCCGACCCGGTTTTGACCCCAATCCTTCCCATTTTCTCCATTGACGTTCCGAATTCGTCAAAGAACTGTTGATCCGATCCTCCGGCAAAGCGTCTGACCTGAGCCAACGCCGTCGGATCCATAGTCAACGCCGCGTCAGACTCAAAAAGTCCACGACGTTTCAGGACGAGCCGGTAGTAGCTAAGGTCGAAGGTGTTTCTACTACCGGGATCCATTTCGACCTTCGTGGTATTGTCGGCGAGAGATAAACATCTCCGTGTCTTTAAATTGGCTGCGTATTCGCTGTCGAGCGACGGATCTTGGTCTCCGACGCCGGTAAAGTTGAAGAGACGGTTGGAGAATGAGGAGCAATGAGACACTCCGATTGTGTGCGCACCTAAAACGTTCAAAATGTAATGAAACTGTTTAAAATACCATCAACGGAAACGGAAACGGAAACGACAACGTTTTGACTTAAACTATTTAATCAAACGGTTTTAAGTTTATCCGAAGTTACTAAACCGAACCGGAAAAGTCAAGTTTTCTTTACCGGATAATAAGACGAGGTCTTTCACATCAAGTCCTTGGTTTCCAAAGAGAGTTATAAGAGTTGTGAAGTTTCCGAAAGGAGGAGGAATATTGTTCAAAGCCTCTGTAGCATTAGAGATTCGTCCGTCTCTGCGTCCTGTGGGAACACTCCATGTTGGTCCACCCTAAACCAAAAGTAACCAAGACCGGTTTGTTTTTGGTAATTAAATTAGATTGAAATGGGAGGTAATTAATGTATTTAGCATCAATCATACTTACAATGGCAACAACAGAGTCTCTAGTAGCGAGAGTGATGATATCGGCGCAAGAGACAATACCAGGACACTTCTTTTCAAGAATAGACTTCACTAAATCGATAAAGTCGAAACCTCTAACAGTTAGATTTGGAGGAGCAACCTTCTCCACTTGTTGGTTGCTCGATGTAGCGTTGATCAAGATCGAACCATCACAACCCTACCAACACCAATACATACGTCTTTTTTAATATATATATATATATATCATATATCTGAATATATAAAGATATATGTATATTGAATTATGATTAATGTATTATGTATATATGCCTAACTTACTTTTTATAAATAATTTGATGATACTAACACAAAGATGCTTTCATTTTATGTATCTCGGAGGGTTTCGGACTATAATCTTTATATTGATCCTAAAATGCGATAAAATTTGCTAACCTAATATGGGATTTATAAAATTTTGATAAGGAAATAAAGAATACCCGAACGAAGCAATCGTGGAAATGCATCCTAATAAGGCCAGCAGCCAAAGAGGGTACATTGCCGATATGTTGGTTGACAACAGCTTGTATGATCTTCTCTGCGTTAGGGCAAGTTTTGTCGTAAAACCCTAACTTCAGTTGAGCTTCTGAAAAGCTCACAGAACCTAGAATCACAAGAATCGTCACAATAACTAACCCGAATCTCGACATTTTGTTCTTTTGAGATCCGTTATAGAGAATTTGACTCGAGAATGGTTGGAGAATAACTGTTCTTAAGTTAGGATTATATATACTACTGTTCGTCGTGAGAGGATAAAGCAATGAGAAGAAGAAAACAAGAAGAAAAAAGCTAACTAACATGTTCTATTTATTTTTTATTTTTTTGTAACTATGTTCTATTTATTCTTGTTCATGTTAAATTTCAATTATCATCATAAATTTATTTTGGCCTTGTCCTTTCTTTTTGTTATCACTATTATTGTTTTTTAATTGTACTTTTATAAGAATATACACGTAGTATTAGTTCATATTTTTTTACCCTGTTAAACTAGTGTTCTGTCTTCATATTGGTTTGCCAAATTAAATTGACTATAATCGAAACTCTTATCGTTACAAGTAATTCAAATCAAGCATTCCGATAGGAACTGTGGATATCAATTTTTTTTTTAATGTGAATATCTTGCTTGTCTTATTTTTTTTGGTCAACATATATTTCTTCTCCTGTTTTAACATAACTCGGATTTTTGTTTTTAACCCGTATGTTATCTGTGCTAGTATTTTTTTCCTTTTATTTACGTTGCTCGTAGTTGATTCAACTTGGCATGGCAGGGACAGGACACCACAAAAATTCCAAAACTATGAAATTATATATAACTTTTGCTTGATGTTACGTACGTATACAGTATGATGGCTGCGATTACAGTATTAGATTATCATTATTTTATTTTAATTAGTAGTTTATCTTAGATAGCTCGTGCATGGAATTAAAGGTTACATAGACTTTCAATAAGAAAATTGTTTTGAAAAACAAAAAATAAAAGGCCACATAGATGAGAGAGAATTTCGATAAAAAAAATTGTTTTGTCGAGAAATTCGATAAGTTAGTTACTTGTATTTGGTAGAAAAATGTGACATAAGGATTTTAATAAAATTTAAGTTATTTTCAGTATATATATATACATATTAATAATGGTTGTTGATTAACAACCCAATTAACAAACAACAACTAACCTTGACGAATGTTCTTTTATTAAGGCAAAAAGCATTCACATAATACTTGATTGCATTTTTTTTATGATCAACTAATTTATCTGCACTCGATCTACATTTTTTTTTTTATAAATGTTGTTCTACATTTTTTTTAATCTAAATTTCAACCTGTAACAACTGACGTTAACAAGATTATGTATTTCTATAATGTGCATATACTTAAAACCAAAAACTCTAATATGATGGCCTTTACACCATCTCCAATGTATATCTTTATTTTTTATTCTAAAATAGAATAATTCTAAAAAAGAGTTGAGTTTTGCTCCAATATATATCTAATTCATTTTTTACCCCAAAAATAAATATTTTAAATAGATTATATTTCTATTTTATTATTAATACTTTTTATTTCTAAAATTTACAAATAAACTTTATTTATATTGTTGTTTGCAAAACTTTTATAGATTATATATTTATTTATGTTGCTTGTTTAATTTCAGCACTTCTTATACATTTTAAGTTTATTTCTAATAATAATTCTAATGTTTAAATGTATTTATAATTTTCCGCTGGAGTATAATGTTTACAAATATCTCCTATATATTAATTGAGAAGTATTTTTAAAGAGTAACCTCATTTTTGTAAGTATTTACAGTAGTGCCTATATGCTGATGTGATAACCCCATATTTATTTTCAGCTAATTATTTTAAAAAGACCCTAACTAGGTAATAATCCGCACCGTGTGCGGGATAAAATAATAATTATTTATTTAATATAGTATAATTTTAAAATCATATAACAAAATACAATTTATTTTATATGAGTTGTTTATAACATTATGCTGTAATATTGACAAAATATTTTTTCTTGTTTATTTTATGAAATATAGGGTAATTTAATTCTAATGTAAATTAGATTAAAAATTAAATATTTATGCGCAATCTGGATAGAAATATGAAGTCGCTCTTTATATTTTCTATAACCGATGATTAATAACATGATGTTAAAATTCAAAAAAAAAATAGAGGGAGTATATTTTGATTAAATTATTAAGTATCTAATGCATTATGATAATAATAAAAAAAATTTACTACTTCCTCTGTTTCATAATTTTTTTTTAAGGTTTTATTTTGTTTCACAATATATTTGTTTTCATTTTTTTACTACTTCCTATGAATACTATGTGACCGATTATATTTTTCAGTTTTTCATAATTAGTTGAATTATATTTAATTTATATACTAAATGATTACTTTTTAAAAAGAAAAGTTGCTTTTAATCTTTGTGCTTTGATGCAAAAAATTTATATTTTGAAATAGAGAGTATTAAAATTGTAAAAATAAATTTGATTATAAGATTCTATAATCGATTTTAATATTTTTTTTACAAATGTAAATGCATATTTAGATTAATCCGTAAAAACCATAGTCATAAGAATATTAACTTTTAAGAAAAGAAAATTACTGTGAAATTTATTTTAAATACTAAATATATATAAGGATTATATAAAATAGATTATATTTTTATTATTTTAATACATTATCTAAAATTGTATATCATTGAGTCAATACTTATACATTCTTAACTTTTTGATTCAATAAAAATATTTTTAATATCAAAAAGTTTAATAAAATTATTATATAATATCTTTACAAAAATATTTTAATTTTTTACCAAGTTATTTTTTGTATAAATTAAAAATTTATGATATTTAACTTTTTAATCAAATAAAATATTTATAATATTATATTCTATTAACATATTCAACTACTTTTTTATAGTTGAACTTTTTATTAATATTTTTTACTTATTATAAAGTTTAAATATTTATATTATTTGGTTAATTTATATGGTTCTAAAACCATATGAAACCAAAAATAATAATAATAATAATATCTATTGAATTAAGCTTTCTGTTTTTTTTTTTATCATCTATGTATTTTTTATATTAATTTATGAATCATCTATCTACATATCCTTATTTTTAATTTTAGTCTTTCAAAACATACTTTTATTTATTAATCATTTGTGTAATTTATATTTTTTTTTATGAAATTCGAATTATAACACTATATATATATATATTATTTTACTATATAAATGGTGTGATGGTATATTTTTCTACAAAAATAAAAGATAAAATATATTATTTAAAGAAAGAATTAATATGGTATTTTTTGGTAAGAAATAAAAAAAGAGAATATCTTGATGAATCATCATCAATATAATTGATATAAACTAATGTATAACCAAATTAATGTGAGTGGCATAACATGTAATTTATCTAGTAACATAAGTCTATTTTTATAATTTTGCTGAAAATGATTCTGGTGATGACACATCAGCAAAATGGCACCATTGTAATATTTTACAAAATTAAGGTTATTCTTTAAAAATGCTTCTCTTTTAATATATAGGGGATTACATGATATGCCATTATATATTTTAGATCTGTACATATGTTATGTTTCATTTTATAAATCAGCATTTAATTTATTAAGATACTCAAAAATATATCATATTAATTATTTCTTTAATTACATTTTCTACCAAAAATCTATTTTTATCTTATTTTCATTTAAACTTACTTTTGTAAAATAAATAAATTATCACATCATCCATATAATAAAAAAATATATAGATTTTTTTGTACATGTATTATAATTTGAATTTTAAAAATTGAATATAAATTACTCAAATTATTAATAAATCATTATAATTTGAGTTCATTATAATCATTATAAAAGTTGATTGTAATGTAAGTTCATTATATTTATTATAAATAAAAGTAGATAATTACAATTCGATTTAATTGACTCTTTCCAAAAGCAAATTCTCAATTAGCTCATAATTTAGACTCTTTCCAAAATTTAGTATACAATAAATAGTATTTAATAGTTATTATAATATAATTATGAGCTAATTGAGAATTTATTAATAATTTAATAAAAATGAAATTTATTGTGTTTGATATATGTTAATAATATAAGTAATTTAATTTATGGTGCATTCACTAATCTAATTTAGATATAAGTAATATATTAATTTAAATTTATTTTATTAATTTAGATATATATATTCAAAGATTTCGAATACAAACTATAGTGACACTTTTGTCTAATAAGTCATCAATGTTTAAAACTTATTTGGAATAAAAATAATATATAAGATGGATAAACATCAATATATTTATAGAAGCTAATTATAATAATTTTTGTTTATCACATTATTTTTTATATAATCAATCATAGCAAAAACACATCAAACTCTAACCATATTACATCTTAAATTTAATATTGCGCTTTATTATGTATATACTATATTTCCAACTTACCATTTATCATATATTTAATTATACTTTATTATTATATTTTTGATAATATTTTTGATTAAAGATTTTTGGAGTCAATAATTTTTTTTTTTTTACAAAGAGATAATTTATGGATATAATTATTATTTTTTAAATTAAAAATATAAAATTATGTCTTTATTTAAAACTCATTCGGTATAATAGACGAGTAACAACTATTTAAATAATAATATTTAATTATTATTTAAGAGTCAAAAGTAATTAAATATATACACAAATATTATATTAAATTTAAATAAATAATAATTATTTTATCCTGTACAGAGTGTGGATTATTACCTAGTTAAATAGTATAAAGTAATATCAAGTAATAAAAAGGATCAGAGTGCAAATAGAAAAAAGTTCAATTCCAAATTGGAGTAGAATTTAGGTTTACTTCAGATGAGGAGTATAAATTAGGTTGACTTTATTTTAGAGTAAGAAATAGAATAGGGTTGGAGACAAAATTACTCTAAAATGGTATTTGGAGTGAAAAATGAAGTAGAATTGGAAATACTCTTAAGTAAATCTAATATAGAGTCTCGGGAAATAGTATTATCATAGTCTATTTAACTATACGGTTTATGACATTATCTTCTGTTGAATCATAAATACAATCTAGTTCAAATGTTGAAAATTATTAAATAATTC